TGGGCGGCCCCGGGTGGCTCCGGGCGGCCCCCTCGGCGTCGTCGGTGAGCAGGCTCAGCGGGTCCAGCTCCGGCGTGATGGGGATGGGCACCTGCCGGGGAGGAGACGCTGGTGCTGGAGATGCTGTGGGAAAGATCCCCACGGCCTCCGCCTCTCCGGGAGCAGGGCTGAGATGTGGCCGAGCCCCCCGGGATGGCCACCACCGCTCACCTTGAGCCCACCGAGGAAGGGGATCCAGTGCTTGTCGATCAGCTCAGCCCGGTACTTCTTGGTGAAGTAGCCGACGTAGGACACGAAGGCGGAGGTCAGCAGCACGTCCCCGCACAGCGTTTTCTCCTGTGCCTGGAAGGTCTCCACGGACTCAGCCCAGCGGACGTGAGGACCCGATGCCGCTGCCGGTCCAGGCGCCCGGCTGGCAGCTCCGGGCCACACTGCCCCCCCCGCACCGGGGCTGCCTCTGCACGCTTTCCGGCCCAATTCTAGTTAGTGAATTTTTTTTTTAATTTGGAGGGCAGGGGCTTCTGATTTTTTCCATGGATCTTTGTGTCCTTTGAAGCACCTTCCCTTCACTAGGGAGTCCGAGGGACCAGCCGATGATCTCAGCTGGTTCCCCCTCCCTGCTGCCCTAGCCCTTCTGCATCCGATATGTGTGCGATACCTGTTTGCTAACGTGATGACTCTGTTCGTGGCATCAGCCTCTTGCTGACATTTGATTTTTTCAGCTGTAGCTTTTTCAAATTCTGCAGTGAGAGTTGCCAAATTGGCGTTCAGATCCTTTAAAAGACAACACATTTACAGTTACCTCCTACACACACAAAACACGATTGCAGTAAGTTTGCAAGCCTGGAGAAAGCTTTGCAGACACTAATGAATCTGCAGGCCCTGGTGTGAAGATGCAACTCTTCACCTGGGCTCCAGGTTACACAAACGATAAGAATCTTTCTAATTTGTTTTTAGCTTCTTTCTGTGACCCGGAACAGCCCACTGTGCAGCCGCAGTGGACGCCAGCCAACACAAACAGCAGCTGGCTCCTGCAGCAGGCTCTGGCTGGGGACAGCACGGGAGGAGCAGACACTTACTGCAATTTTGTTCTTAATACGACTGAGTTTGTCTTGCGCCTCTGCCAGCTCCGCGTTAGCCTCCTCCAGCGCCTGCCTCTTGGGCGCGACGTCGCAGTAGACCTCGTAGAAGCGAACGATGTTCAAACACCAGGAGCAGAGACCTGCCGCGGCTGTCGACTTCGACAGTATAGACTCGGGATCAAAATTCGGGTCTGACTGATAGGGCCTGGAAAGGGAGATCACACACCACTGCATTACCTGGTGCCTGGTCCCGCTCCCTGTTGGACTTGGGGCACTCATGGGCAATATACTTCATATATGCAATATTTAAGTCTTTCTGTAGCAACCTGGAGACTTAAAGAGTGGAGTTATCCTCCCCCTGCTTTTGCTGATCCCTCTGTGGTGGCACTGCACTTGGGGGAAGACCTTGCCTGGGAGGAACTGGCCATTTACTCACTTAAACGCTTTGAGACATGCTTCGGGGATGTGCTCCTTGTCGAACTTTTTCAAGGCATCCAGGAAGGTGTCTACTTTTCCCATCATGATTTTTGCTGCCTTCCAGCTTTTATCTTTCGGTATCTTGCCCCCTGGCGCTGTCAGGATCATCACGGCTGCCGTGACATTCACCACCGCTTGCGGGGGGGACCCGAAGGACTTCAGCTCCGTCAGGTTGTTCTGGGAAGGGACGAGATGGTCGTTCTGCATCGCCCGGCGCGGGGCTGGGCTGCTGCAACGTGTCCTGGTGCCCAGGAGCCCTCCCCACACTGGGTGCTGCCAGGCACCCTGCAACTGGCACCCCTGGGGACACCATCCCATGCACCACCGGGGAACCCTGTGTCTTCCACCTTGTTGAGGGTGTTGAGGGCCTCCTGGGCGGCGATGAGCGCTGGCTCCGCTTTTGCCAGGTCAGTCTCACAGGCGCGCTGCTTCTCCGCCACGATCTGGGGGTGGTGAGAGGAAGGACGAGGGTGAGCATTGGTGTGGGACACGGCTCCCACCCTCCACACTGCTCCGATCTGGTGTGGCAGAGTCACTCCGGGGGGCAGCACAGACAGAGCAGCTGCCCAGGGAGCAGCGGGCATTGCATACCGTGTTGATGGCCTGGACCTTCAGCTCTTCCTCATCAGCGATGGCCTTCTCCTTGCTGACTTTCTCCGTTTCGACGCCCACCACGTGGATCAGTTTATCTGCGTCCTCGTTCTTCTGCTTCAGCTCTGCCTCCTGGATTGCCAGTTTGGCCTTCAGGTCGTCAACCTGAACATCAGGAGACACAGGAGCAGGTGGGATGGGCAGCAGAAACTGAAATACTTATGCAGTCCTACCCTCCTGGTCATCCCCTGCCCACCCCCAGCACAGAGCCAGAAGCAGAGGTGCTGGCAAGCTCTTGGTGGGGCAAAGCACGCACCTGGGATGCCGTGCTCTGCAGCTTCATCAGGCCGTTCTCCAGCCGGTCGATCTTTGCAATGAGTTCTTGCCTTTTTTTAGACAGCAGATTTTGGTAAAGCTTTATCTGCTCCAGAAAGGTTTTTGGTGTGGTGTAATTATAGCGTCTCTCCATGGCCAGGTAGGTCTTGGACATCTCATTAACGCTCGTGTGGACAAAAGACATGAACTGGCTGATGGAGACCTTGACCTCTGGCTGTGTTGAGAACACAAAACACTCTATAACTGAACACTGAGGCAGCGCAAATATTAAATGTAAAAAACAAGCTTTCATGTAATGTTAGTTACACATTTAGCTGTAGAAGCTGGAAGGCAAGGCATCACTTTTATATTAAATAGCACAACGCCTCACTGTAGGTTATCACAGCCCTGACAGTGGTGGGTCTCACGTCGTTCTTTGGTTTCCTGCAGACTCTTTCATCTTCCAGGTGAGCCTGTGCTACACTAGAGAGGAGCTTTTGTTTTTTAAGCATTTGATGTTTCCAGGCTGTTATTTGCATTGTTTTAAGGAGAAAAGCGAACGTAGAAGATAGGTTCTCCTGTCCCCGCATGCAGTGCATGAGACCACAGTCTTTGTTTTCTTTGATCCCGGAGGCAGCTGTGGCCTCTCCCAGGGTCCCTGTCCCTGTCCCTGCTGCGTCCCAACTTGCCCAGGTCCCTGTCCCCATGCTCACTGCAATGAGGTGAGATACAGAAGGTCTGGACATTTCCCGGGGTGCCCGGTCTCCCCGTCACCGCCAGCCCCCTCGGGGACCGGTAGGGTGCACGAGCTCCGCAGGTGCAGTGCGGTGCGCTCGGCTCGCCAGCCCACATGTCTGCCCTTGACCACTCACTTCGATGCCCCCCGTCTCCTCCAGGAACCTGCTGCTGACGGAGATGAGCGCGTCCTCCGGCCACTCGTGGAACCAGTCGATGGCGGTGCAGCTCACCACGGCCGGGAACTTCCTCGCGCGCACCCGCAGCGTCGAGCCCACGGGCGAGAAGCAGAGGATCACCTGGGCCGGAGGCACGCTGGTGAGCGTGGGGGCCGGGCCTGGCAGAGCCTCTGCTGCATCCCCGGCATGCGGGAGGGTCGCCACGGGGTCTGCATCTTCTTCGTGAAGATCCAGAATGCACCTCCCACCCATTGCGTTCCCTCTGCGGCACCCGAGAGAGGCTCTTTTCCGCGGGTTGCCGGGCCCCCGTGGGCGGCTGCAGGCGGCAGGAGCCACGGTGCTGCGCTGGCGTCCTCGTGGCCAGCCTGCAGGCTGTTTGCACGTGCCCCCTCCGCTCCGAGGGAGGACAACACGTCGGTGTCAACAGCTGCCCCCCTGAAGCAGGGAGGCACTGAGCTGGCTGGGGATCCTTTGAAAACATTTTTCATTCAGATGCATTACCACAATGTTGTGTGCACTGTTTGCAAATAGATTTTGGATTAAGCAGGTAAGAAGCACTTACAAGACACCCTTTTTGGGTGAACCCCTACCTTTAACTGTCGCCTGACTTTTTCTATAAATAGTTTCCAGCAGTTTTCCCTTGAGTCTTGCAATCCAAGGAACTTCACTTGTGGCCTCATGGAATTCATAATATTTTCCAGGTCATCATCCTGAAAAAGCCCTGGTATCTCTCCGGATGCTAGGAAGTCATTGATGAGAACCAGGAATGGTTCTTCGGCAACCTGGGAGTCGGTCATCAGGAAGACGGTGGGGATGTTCTTCACGGCGGCCTTGATGTACTGGGAGGCGAGGTCCAGCTGGGTGGGAGAGAAACCACCAAAACCGACTGAGCAGCTCTCCGAAGTGACTGGTTTGGCTCAGCGATCAGCGGAAATATCTCTGAATGAGAGTGGATGAGCGGGGCCAGGCAGGGCCAGGCTGGCGTCTCCCTTTTCTTTGCTGGGTGATGCTGCATATGAGATCATGGCAAAACATCCTAGCAAAGATGCTGGTGCTCCCCCATGGACATGTCCTCACAATGGGGATGGACTGGGGACAGGCTGTTCCGGCCCGTCCCCGAGCTGGAGAAACCCTGCTCGACTTGGTGCAGATGGCATGGTACCTAAAGCCACGGCAGCTAGAGGAGAGCACAGGGCCTCTGCGCCCGCCTCAGACCCGGGACTCGCAGTGCAGAGCGTGAGCAGGAGGCTTTTGGCTCCACTTACACAATTTGCGTAATCCCGCCGTGTGAGCAGGCCGAGCTGCCCCAGGAGATGGAGGGGAAAAACCGCTCTAACCTTAAGGTCTGGAATGCCGTATCCCTTCTTCAGCGTAATCTGAAACACGTCCAGAGCGCTAATATAAGCTGCCAGCCGTGAAAGACTTTGCTTCCCACTGCCTCCGACTCCCACCAGCAGCGCGTTTCCTCGGGGAGACTCCAAGATCCGACTAATTCTGCAAATATGAGACATGGCGTCTTCAAACAGCACCTAAAGAAAACGAGAGGGAAGGGTTTAACATTTCACAGCAGGCAAAGCCATGGGTGCCCCTGAGTGTGCAAAGCTGAGCGAGGGTGGCGTTGCAAAGTCCATCCGTCTAGGTGGTGCGAATGCCGCCTGGCCACGGACCGGCTCGCGGGGCCTCACCAGATTCATCACCGCGTTGACCTCATTGTAGCTGTCCAGGGCCTCCCCCAGCAGCTTGTTCAGAGATGGCCAGTTCGGCACCGGCAGGTACTTGGGCTCCCCGATGCCCTGGGCAAAGTGGCAGTGGATGTTGGGCTTGGCAAACACCAGGTCTTCCCTGAGGTCCTGGGGAGAGGCAAAGTGAGCTGGTGAGGCAGACCCTGGCCCCATGCACCCCAAAATGCAGCCCTCTGGGCTGCAGCACTCTCTTGTTTACCGACACGACTTACATCAAAGAATTTTTTGCAGGTGGCAGCTACAATTCGACTGAAGCTTTCCTGGTCCTTATCGTCAATGAGCTTGTCCCCATACACCCGCTCAGCTTCGTGGAGCCAGAGGCGCACGAAGTCCAGGGGACTGCGGAGGCACTCGGAGGTGGAGAACAGCAGCCCCTGGCAAATACACAAACCTGTCGGTCCTCAGAGGTTTTATTTCACCACTACTCAGAGCTGAGTTAAAATATTGGCTTTGGGAAAAGGTCACGGTACATCTCAAGGACATGGTACGCTGCAAGGACGTGGTACAAAGCAAACAAAGGCATGAGTATGTTTTAAAGGCAGCAACCCCCGCTGGTACCTGGAAGATGTTGGAGAGGTCGCGGAGGTTGAAGAGGTAGTGGAACTTGATGGCGGTCGGCAGGAAGGTGGACGTGACCTTCTGGTGCAGGGCTGCTCGTGGGAGACACAGGGGGAGCAGGCAGGCCGGCCTCAGAGACTGCCGCACTCGGCGTGGGATCTCTGTGCCTTACTCTGCCCATTCCCCTTTGAATTTTGGCAGACAAACCAAATCGGAGATGTTAGTTTGGCCATTCCCGGGGCACAGTACTGCAGTTTGAATATAAATTGGAGAAAAGGAGGAGCTGGGGTTTTATTTGTGCAGTGCGGTGACTTGAGGTGCTGCACTGAGCTTTCTGGGGCAGTAACCGTTTGGCGTGGCTTTGGTTTTCACTGTCCTGGTGCAGTGAGCGCGGGTGCAAAAAGCAGGGTTTGCTGCCTTTCCGACCCACCGTGTGTGACAAGGACTCACCCAGGGCTGCCGCGACCAGCTGGGCCTGCAGCTTCTGGACGGCCAGCGGCATCTTGCGTTGAGCCAGGTGCTGGGCCAGGATAGTGCTGTAAATGGTCAGGAGCGCTTCTTGGCCAGGAAAGCTCACCGCAAAGACGCAGAAGTGTCGCTGTGGCAAAAAGCTGGCGCTGAGCCGCGCAGCGCGCTGGGTGCTGTTTGCTGGGACTGGCAGCGCGGTGCTGCCCGGCTCCCCGGCGCCCCGTCCCTGCGTACCTGCAGCCTCGAGTCGATGGTGAAGGACCCAGCAGTGGGGTTCATGCAAGCCACATACTGGCAGTTGTGAATGTCCTTCAGGGTCAGCTTGTTCCTGTCATACCTGCGCGGGGCAGAGGGACGAGGCTGTCCAGGGGCTGTGTCCTCCTGGACAATCCGGCGGGGGGGGGGGGGGGGGGGCGCCACA